GCATTTATCAATTAATTTCATCATAAAGAAAGAATCAATGCGTCAATCTAATGACAAACCTTTCACTCTCAGTAAAATCTTCGCTATCTTCATCACTATCATCTTTATCCAACTCTGCCGCCTCAATTAATAGACGCTGTTTTCGCTCTTCAATACTTTCTACGCTCTTATCGTCTAATGATGCACTTCCAATAGCTCCACCCTCTTTGCGAGTCTTTTCAAAGTGTTCACGCTCAGCTTTAAGTAGTTCTTGTTTTAGATCAAGGTTTTCAAGTTCTTCTTGTGTCAATTGACCTGATTGTCTAGCGTTGGCCAATTGTCGTTAGTTAGCATAAGTTTTATAGAGAATCAAATGAAAATTCAGGATAATAAATAAAAATTGAATGCATCTTTATGTAACAGAGGTGTCCATAAAGCTTTGCATAATTCCTCAAGATTTTGCGTGAGTTTTGTCTAACATTTAACAACTTACCTATATTTTAACTTTGTATGTGCGGCTAAATCACGCGAGCTATATTGTAACGTGGGTGCTTTACTGTCACGACCACGAGCTGGATCAAAGGTTGGACGTGCTGCTGTAGTCATTATTACTGTATATTTTGTTTCTCAGAAATTTTGTTTTGTTTTCTAACTCAGCGTTAAAGGTAGAATAAAATCATGGTGTCGGAAGGTTATGCCCGCGACAATCACGTGATTTTTTAATTAGAAAAATTTCATTATATTAACACAAACTTTATTACACAATGAAATTTTTTTTATCTCAAAAATTTCTTATACTTTAATACTGTAAAAACTTAAGAATAATATAAAATAACTTATTTTCTCTTATTATAATATTAATTCTTTAATTTATTCTTTTATAATTAATAAATAAGCTTTTTTATTAATAAATAATAAATTTTAACATAATTATTTATTATAATATATTATATTATATTATTATATTATTTATTTATTTATTTCTATAAAGAATAATTTTTAAATTATTAATAAAAATTATATAAAATTTTTCTTTAAAAAAATAAATTATAAATATTTCTTTTTAAATAATAAATACTTATTAAAAATCTAATTAATATAATAGAGTTATAATATTTTTATAAAGAATTTTATATTAAAAATATTATATTAATTAAATCTTTAATTCAAAAAAATATTTTCTTAATTAATTATTAATTTAAACTTAAAAATTTTTAAATAAATAAAAGTTTAATAAAACTAATTTATAATAAATTACTATAATAAAAAATAATAATCTTTTATATGAATTAATATAAAAAGATTTTTATTATAATTTAAAGATATTATCTTAATTAATTATAACTTGCAATAGCTAATCAGAAAATTATGATTAATTATAATAGCCAATTAGAGAATATAATTAAGTTGTAATATTATCTTTAATCTCAATATAAAAATTAATAATTAAAAATTATTTAAATTTCAATTAATTTTTTTATATTAATAAAAAATAATCTAAATTAACTTTTTATACTATTTTAATTATTTTATTATACTTTAATTTAATAATAAATAAAATATTACTTTACTAAA